ATCAAGTACATATAATATCAGAAAAATAATTATTAAATTCAATAAGAAAATGCTAAAAAGGTGGACTGAACTGTTTATTTACCTATGAAACCTAACTCCTGGCTCTTTCTTATCGTTGCGGCATAAACATAAAAGCTGAACAAATCACCATTGTAATTGTAATAAAATTTATACATAACTCACAACACACAACAAACTATTAAACGTGTCCTTGTATTCTTTAGTCATTGGATTGGTACTATTACTATTACTGTATCAAAACCAAAGTTTACAGAATAATATTTAATTATTAATTATTAATTAAATTAAATTCTGTAAACTTTTTCAAAACTAAAGAGGAGTTTACTTTCTTTTTGGTAGATAATAACTAAGTCGGCTTTATGGCTTTATCACATAGAAAAATCCTTGAAATGAAATATTAAACGCTTTTGCCCTAATTTTACTGACATTTTTGAAATTTATTTGCTACCGCCCTTTAATAGCAATTTTAAATGTCGGTCAGCCCTTAAGAGCGCACGTATAAGGGTTTGTACATCGTCGTACCAGGTACCTACCTAAGTCTAAGTTTCTTGGAAGAGCTCATAATCATTTGAATTGAAAAAAAAACTTTTGTCGGAACTTTTAAGATTATAATATGAATCGGAACAGGTACATAACAAAGAAAAAATAGGATTTTACCTAGATAGTTTGTTAATTATATTAGATTAGATTCTTCGAGGTGGCTATCGGTCTGATCCACTGCGACCTTTTCAGATCTATTGTGGTCCTCTTCTGATCCTTAGGTTATATTCAACAGTCCTATCCTTTTCAAAAGTCTAGAAAGTTGAGACTGAACGAACACTCCATATAGCTCTTTGTCAGTAGCCTATCAATTGCTAAAGATGTGATTTATTTCATATACAAGTATTTTATTGACAATAATAATAATAGCTCCCGTATATAGCGTCTAACGTCTTGGGACTTGGGAGTAGCAAGGTACAGCTTGCCATACTAGAGCCGTTCGGTATACAGGGAAGGTAATGTGGCTAGCACTACGCTTCAACCGCCTATTATTACCTCAGGATTGTGAATCCCAAGTACTCATTTAAGGTTGAGTCGACCTAGGTACCCAAACTATTTTTATTTTAATAAAAATAGTCGGGTGTGGGATTCGAACCCACTACCTTGAGATTGGTAGACGAGAGCCCCTACCTCTACGCCACCGGGCACCCTATTTGATTGATCAGATACAAAATAAAAGCGATACCAATTAAACTTTTAGTTACGTAATCGAGGGCGCGATTTTAAATTCATTTAAAAAGGGAAATTTAAATTCCAGACTAACTGGAATTTAAATTTCCCGCTGGGGATTCAGATGATAGCTATGCTGTAAAAAATGTCAAGTTTAAAATTTATTTCCTGACTTTGTCATTCGTTTTGACATTTTAGTTTTGTATTACGAGTTTTTGGTTTAAATAAATATTGTTGTGATACTTTAAGCTTAAAAATGTTTACTAGCAGAGCTTGCAGTCGAACATTGTTCTTTCTAAAAACTATTTTAGTGCGAAGTGTATGTACAAGATACCTTAATAGCAGTTGCAAAAAACTCATCGCAACCTTAGAATATTTTGAACGAGAAAGCGGCAGTAATGACCCTTTTTGTCCCTTAAGTGGTGTCAAGGAGGTGAGTTTTGTTGATGATAAATAATAACTGTTTTTTTCTATAATTAATTTATATTTCCTAAAATATTTTTATTAAAAGAGAATATATAAAAGTGGACAACGCTGGCGCTGTGCCGTTCAACCTAATTAACGTCATTAAAAGTTTAATTGGTATGAACTATGGAGGGCTTTTAGACTCCATAATATGAACCAATGACTAAAGGATACAAGCACATATAAGGCCCATATACGGGCTGCAGCAGAATTTGTGATGTTAGACGCCATCATATTGGAGCCTACGGATGAGTCACCACTTCGTCAACAGCGACAATTTTAGCGATTTTTAATAATCTGTCGTTTGTAGTGATCTTTGTATAATCTTTATTACAATGGTGATGGTGTTCAGCTTTCAAGTGTAAAAGCCGCAACGATAAGTAAATAAACAGTCCACTCCACGTTTTTAGCGTTTTCTTATCGAATTTGCTAATTATTTTTCTGATACTATATGTACTTGATATGCGCTATATGTCGACACCAGTTTTATACCTTCTGTTAACATTTTAATACGTTTTTTTCGTACTTAATTAGTATGATGCCACTGCCTACACCATAGGCGCAGTCAAAACATTTATCAGAAATCTAAATATCCAGTTAAGCAGCTAAGTTAAGAAAAATATTTGGCCACGGCACTGGTGCCATGGTAACAATTTGTTCAGGGTTATATGTCCTTGTATTCTTTAGTCATTGGTATTTGAATACGTATTTTCTTTTTCATTGGTATTGAACCATACGTATTTTCTTTTTATATTTGAAATACCTTTTTTAATTTCATCTTGTATCTTGTATTTAGATACATTTTTTAGTATCTTAGTATTTTAAAAATACTTAGTTTGCCAAAATAGGTACTCTTACTAATTATTACCTTTTATTTTTAATCTAAGATTATTACATTATTACCTATGCCTATTTTTTACTATACAAGGCATCCAATCATATGTATCCGTATTAAGTGTGACGAAATATCTAAGCAACCTTTGCAAAATCTTAATGAAACAATGAAAACGTTGAAACTACCCCCTTTTAAAGTAAAAGAAATTCATTTTAAAGCGAATAATATGTAGCTTGTTCAAAGCAAATAGAAGAAGCCATATAAAGTCACAAGGCGATAAAGACACATATCATGGTTGTCTATTAGCCAAACTAATAGGAATCCAATACACACAACCAAATTTATATGGAATCATCTATTATTATTCATAATTTTTGAGCCGTATGAAAATTTTGTGTTTATGAATAAAACTCAGTCCTTACCAATGACTTTTAATGAAAAATAATCCATATAGCAATAAAAAAAAATTAATCAGTTCCCAAAATAAACAAAATGGTATTTTTTGGTTTCTGAAACGAAATTAAGATTTAAACTTTTAATGGCCAAAAAGCAAAAACAAAATTGATAATTTTAATATTCCTTGTTGCCACCTCTAGCCCTTATGCAAGCTTCTATTCGCGCTGGCATGCTTCTTATTAAATTATCAACGTTGTCTTGGGGTATGTTTTCCCATTCTGCTAATGCTGCATCAATAAGCTGTGCAAGATTTTCTGTATTGTTTCGACGAGCTCTAACCCTTCTTTTGAGCTAGTCCCACAAGTGTTCGATAGGCTTTAGATCTGGTGAACATGCAGGCCAGTCCAAAACTATGACACCTTCCGTTTCAAGACATTCTCTAGTCACTCTGCTTGTATGGGCAGGTGCACTATCGTACAAGAAGTTAAAATTACCGATTATATTACCAATTACAGTTCTCGAAAATCTAACGATTGGGTCTAGCACCAAGTCAACATATCTCCGACCCGTTAAAGACTGTTGAAGTGGTAAGAATGGAGTTTTTGCTCCCAGTATAATACCTCCCCAGAACATTATAGTTCCTCCTTTGTATCTTGGTACAGATTTGGCAGCCTGAAGTCGCGCTCGTCTTTCTGGAGCTCCGAGAACCCGAATTTGATGGTTATCTGATCTTAGGCCAATTCTGGCCTCATCCGAAAAAAGAACATTTTGCCAATTCTCAGTTGTCCAGTTTTGATGTTGAAGGCATCAATTTAGCCGGTCAATTTTATTTTGCCGAGATAATTGTGGGATCCGTAACTCTCTCCTACTGTAAAATCCTCGAACACGAAGCCTTTTTGTTATGATTTCAACTAAAACGTTCACACCTGTAGCTGCCAGAAGTTGTCTTTGTAGCTCTGGATGAGAAACATTGGGATTTATTCTAGCAATTTGGCCCACAAGGCGTTCTTGTTGTTCTGTTGTGACTCTTTGAACACTTTGTCTGGTCCTATCCTTGTGTGTTCCTAATTCCAAGTACCTTGCATATGTTTTCGATACAACACCCTGGATAACGCCTACTACCGTATGATCGAAAAAAAATGGCGTCCAGTTGGCTGGGAAATGACGATCGATGACATTTCCCATATAAATTTACATATAAAATGACAGCGATCTTCATTTCCCAGCCAACTGGACGCCGTTTTTTCTCGATCATACGGTATCTCTGCTAGGTCCCTCTGGCGCGTTCCTTGTTCGGTGAGAGCATTAATTCTTCCTCTCTGTACATCTGTTAATCCAACATAAGGCATTTTTTATTTTTTTGGATTTAATGAAAATTACCGGACAATCGTGGTTTTACTACTGAACACAAAATTCAAAAGAAAATAAATTGCCGCAGTCGTTTATTCTTTATTATCATGTTTATTTACAACAAAAAGCCTTATCTTAAAGTCGTATACCAATTTTCATCCTTGCAAGAAATTTAGTCAGAAATAAAGAGTAATCACTCTTTATTTCACTCTCCATATAAGTTTGGTTGTGTGTATATCATAAAAAGTCTTAAAATGGAAATCTTAAAATATTGCGACAGTTTGCTAGATGCTATTGAAGAAAACATAAACAGACGTTTTAAGTAATTTTAAGTTAATTTATCGAGATCTACCAGCCCTGAAAATATTTGTACTTATTTAACACTCGCCCTGTATTTTTACAGGGCACTCAGAAAACGGGAATTAAGCCGGCCATATTAATTCCCCATCGCGCTCTACCTAATTTTGTTCATATACTCCTTCCTAAATCTTTTTATTCAAAGACTAGAATATCAAACCAATATAATAATACAAAAAATTGTATAAATAAAGGATTATTTATTTGTTTTTGACAATCAGCTGTGTAGCATTCACATTTTTTAAGGAATTCCGAATTAAAAACGTGGCAACGGTGCGTCGCCCGCTGTTGACAGCTCTGTCTCCCCCCTCCCGCTGCTTTTGACGATTTGACGTTCCTCAAAAGCAGCCATATTTGTTTACATTCTATTACTGATCCGTTTTTAAGGTTACTTCGTTTTTGAAATTAAATTTGTTCAACTGTATGAGTACAAACGTCCCCTTCAAAGTTGTCTCATAAATTAGCGGTTTTCTTAAAGTCCCCAAAGTTCCGTAAATTTACCGATCCGTACAGCTGTCCCGTCAGGTAAAAAAAATAATTCTGTGGGATCATCTGTGAGAAGATCAAGTTGCGCATGCGGAACCCTTCGCGCCAACGTTCCGGACATATGGCAGATGTTTTGTAATATCAGTCAAAAGTGTACACGCCAAGTCGATTTTTAAGCCGGATATTTCTCTAATTTCTCGCTGTTCGGGGGGTCTTTTTTAGTTCTGAAACAACCCGCGTGTAAATATCAACCTTCCCGAATATGATTCCGTGAAAAAATCAGTTTTCTATAGGTATTTCGATGTTTTTTCAAGCAGTTTTACCCGTACCTTTCGAGTCGGTTCGCTCGTCGGAAACCATTTTGTTCAAACAGCTCCAACATGTGAAAATTCCGGTAGTATTGACAGAAAAACTGCAGTTTTACGTATGCTGATACCAGTCGTTGGTCCAGGGACCAAAAACTTCTAAAAACCAGTAAGTTTAATCACGTTTTTCCCTGTTTAAAGTCGATTGAAATCAGATCGTAATGGCGGTCCTATATGCCTGACAAATCGCGTCCCTTTGACCGTTAAAAAACAACCCCCGCCCTTTTGGGTAGGGTAGATCAGGGTACTATACATTTATATAAACCCTTCTCATATTTTAGCTAATTCAAATTCAAAAATTACGATCTTATCTAGCTTTGTAACGTCATTATTTCAAGATGCGTTTGAAGCTGTTGACTTTTGTTTATGTGGTCACTCCCTTTTACATTCCAACGGTTTTCCAGTACTTTTTATATTAATAAGAATAAAATAGTAATTCTTTACGAAGTTCAAATGAATTGAAATTAAAAAACGATTTCCTTGCTTGATCTATATCGAATTTTACGTGCTAAAAAGAAACATAAAAATATAATTTTTAATAACAATAAATAAACATATATTTTTATGGTGTATTGTTCAGATTTTTAATTTTACTGAAAATTCTATGCTTTTCTAATGCGATTTAAGTAGTTTTCCTTTAATTTTGGGCTCACGTGTCAATTTTACGGAAGCTTTAGGTTAGATTTGCGTTGGCATTCACATTTTCAATAGAGGTAAAATCACTTAATTTTTGTTACACCATATATCGCTTTAAAAGAAAGTTACTGTGTGTTTACGATCTTATTATCTTTATTTAATTTGTTTTATATTTTATTGGTTTATGGTAAAAAAGTAGTAACGTTGTTTTGTTATAAAACCAAATATTTGAGGTTGTTTTCATAATGTAAAATAATACTGCTTGATGTCCATCTAATTAGTTTTTTTTATACTATTACCACACATTAATTTTATAATAGTTCAAGAAAAATAATTTAGTTTTTATTAAAATGTTGAATTTTTGATCTGAAATACTGAGTCATAACTTAATATGAATCTAGCGTTCAGTGACCAGCAAAAAGTAGTGTTATTTGATTCTAGTGAAGTCTGTTCAATGAGAGAACGAATTATTTTGACGATGACGTTTAAAAAATTACTTATTATACAGCCATACAGTTTATTGTAAACTAGGACTTTGAATAAAAAGATTAAGGAATTAGTTAATGCTATCCATGTCCAAGGGTGATCCTTGACAGTTCTGTTTGACGATTCATTTGACACATTTGAATTTGACTCGAAATTTTGTGGATTTGTCAGTATTTACTGAGCTTATTTTATGTTATTTATTACTTATTCTACAACTGGTACCTAGCTGTTTAAAGGTAGTAAGAAGGAAATTAGGACACTATTAGGATATGATTGCGATTTATCGAAAAATACTTTAAAATAGTTGGTCGTGTAGCGTGCGGTAGGTCGGGGTTAAAAATCGAGGAAAATAATGGAATAACTTTTCACTAGTAAGTGACATACGTGTAGTCAACCGATCATTTATGAAATTCACTTAAAATTAACTATCCTTGCATTTTGCTTTTATTTACTACTTGTCAAAGATTAGATGTCCAAGAATTTAGATACGTCAATTTGACTTGGTTAAACATGTTTTTCGCTTCCTCCAAATATTTCTTATACATAAATATATCTAAGTTTTTTGATATGCTCTTTCCTTAATCTTTTTATTCAAAGAAACTAGGGCTGTATTCCTTTGTAAAACCAGGTTAAACAGTCTCATAACTTTGTAGAAATGTCAAATATTGACGTTCTGTAGAACTATTATTTTTACCCGTGCTTCATTCATATTTTCAATGTCTGAAAAAAAATAGGGTAATTACCAAAAATAGTTTGTAAAGCATGGTCCACACGTATGACTTATCCTATGGTTTGCTTGCGTCGACAAAACATTTTGCAACTTTGTGACTCTCCCAATTCCTTATGTCACGTTTAAATCATCGGATCATTTAAATGCACTTGCATGTGGTTAATTTCCCTTGCTTTAATCTGACGCGCTCCAGTTTTTCTAACGATCAATTTGTATTTAACACTCTGATCGGCTACCCTGCACGCATGACCCTGTATAAAGGTTCATGTATGGTGGTGCTAAACAGGGTGCAAGGGTTTCTCTCCTTTTGTTATTCTTAGACTAACCTACTATAAGAAAATGTATTTTACTTAAAATTTATTGTTTTTTTTTCTGGTTTTGGAATTTAAGAATCTAAATTTATTTTTGTAGTTTCTTTACACTTTATCAATGACTCATCAATAGCAAGTACACAAAATGCCAAAAGCAGCAGGAGTTCGACGCAATGATAGTCCTGCGAAACCTTACAGGTATTTTAGTTAGAAAAAAAGAACTGGCTAAATTACCGTCGGCGATACAGACAATTAGCGAAAAAAATACCGTCGTTGGACGGTTTTATTAACATGAATACCGGCGAAAAACGTGGTAAATCTTTCAAGCACACCGGTTGATACTGAATAAAAGAATACCGCCGGTATATTTTAGTTATACCGCCATACTGCCGGTATATTTTATTTATACCGCGATACCGTCGGTATACTTTTTTTAATAAACACCGCCTTTATTTTATCAAATTTTATGTGTTATCGTTTTAAGTGCCGCGATTAGGTACTGTTGTCGAAATAAAACTACATTTTTTTACATAGAAAAACAGATGCAAAATAAGCAAGCGATGAACACCAAACTTTTTTATCACCTAATCGAAATGCAAGTATAAAGGTTATGTTGTCATTTCGAAATGAGTTCGTCAGAATGGAGGGACTCAATACAGACATTAAAGAGGTTAATGTGTAGCTATACTTGTAGTCCTCGTATTCAAATCATGCTTACAGCGTGTTTTGATTGCTTTTGTTTTACTCTTTTGTTTTTTTTGTTTTTCTCTGTTTGCTTTTGATTTTAAAATTGAATGTTTTATAATTATCAAAAATATTAACGACAGCTTAGTCAAGTCAAAAAACGAAAAATGTAAAGATTTTAAGTTTTGATTTCGGAGGCATTTGATGTATAAAATGCCGCCGGTATTGGAGGGAATTTAAGTACCAGGCTAAAAATATCGCCGTCAACGTCAAATTAATTAAATTTTCCAGCGGTATTTACAGATAGAAATATCATACCGCCGACGGTTGTTTAGTCAGTGCGTTCAAAAAAAACCTTTGATTAGGAGGTATTATTCTATAATAATATTTCTGCAGGACTATGCATTCTACGCCTGACATGACTGTCATTAAGGATTACAATAATATCAAGCAAGAGTTCACCCCTAGTCCGCATATGATCGATCATGCTTATGGGGTGACTCCTAGAAATCAACTGATGACCAACACACCACATGCAGGTTGGTACTTGTTTATTTACTTTCATAGAGTAATAAGTTGGATTGTACAGGGTGTCCCATTTTAGTTGAAATCATACAGTATCTCCGTTATTCGTGAAGATAGAAGAGTGCGGTTTGCACAAACCTGTGCCACTTTTTTTGAAAATTTCGCAATTTGGGACAGCCCCTGTATCTCCGTTATTATGAATGATGCTTGAGGTGAAAAGTGATTCTTGTAGAACTTTTTACGTAGAATACAGTGGCGTAGTCTGTTTTTCTACGAAACAAATAGTTTTGAAAATATGAACTTAAGTTATGTTTTTTCAAATGGAATACTCTGTATATTTTATAAATCACATGATCCGCCTTGCTATAAGCTTCTCAAATATATATATCGCTCTATATTTATTTTCATTATTTACTGCAATATTTAAAATATATCATTTTCTTATTAGCAGGCCGTGATAAATAACAAAATCAAAATGGTATCTTCTAAAATAGAATAATCACATTAAAATTTTATTTGGAATTGATATATTTTACTTTTGAATGCGGTGTGCAAATATCTAAAAGCTTGCATTATTAAAGCATTTTCCAGGAGTTCGACATCGTATTAGTTACCACGATATATTTCATATTATTTCAAAGATCCCCAAAATCAGAAATCGAGAACTGACAAATCCAGGAATCAGGGAGGCTATCATATGGGTACATTGGTTCCAATTCATTGATTTGAGACATAATAATTTAACAAAATTCTAATTTTTTCGTTTTAAGTTAAGTTGTGAGGGGGAGCCCTATCTTGCTGAAAGTATATTTCACGTAAATTACCTAAAGGAATATTTAAAAGTTCCGATACGATAGCTTCCAAGATTTACAAATAGCGGTAGAGATTTAAGTTTCCCTAATATACAGGTGTCCCAGAAATAAGTGCAAGTATTTTAACTGGCACAGAAACATGCCTATGAGGTTTTTTTCACGAAAAAAAATTTTGAAAATTCGGAATTTTTTGGAATTTTTTTTTAGTTTTTAGTTAAAAACATAGTTTCTTGATAATATGGCAACATAGGTAGTAGATTAAATTTACAAGAAAGAAAATCCAGAAAAGATCCAGTGGTTCTCAAAATTTTAGTAAAAAATCATTTTTTTTGGAAATTTTCAAAGTAAAATAACTCCGTTATTTTGGATTTGAAAAACGATAAAGAGAAAATATGTTTCTTTTATCGAGATCTACCACCCCTTAAAATACTTTCACTTATTTCTGGGACACCCTGTATAAAGAATTAATTAGTGGCTCTCAAAATAAAACAAGAGACAGATAGCAGTGTACTTTAATAATACATATAATTATTTAGTTTCCTTTATTATCAATCATGGCCTACTAATAAATATGATCTTTTAATATATTATTTTTAAATATTGCATTAAATAGTGAAAATAAATAGAGAGTGTATATATATATTTTTGAGAAGCTTATAGCAAGCCAAATCATATAATTTATAAATATACAGGGTGTTTCATTTACGAAAGCATAACTTTAGTTCATATCTTTAAAAATATTATTTTCGTAGAATAACAGACTACGCCACTGTATTCTACGTAAAAAGTTCTACAATAAACAGTTTTCATCGTCTCAATACCTTTAACAATAACAGAGGTACAGGGGGTGTCCCAAATTGCAAAATTTTCAAAAAGACCCTGTAGCTCAGAAACGAAGAGGGATATGAAAATTTTGTTTCCGGCATCTTCCGTTTAACAAAAACGTGGCATAGGTTTGTGCAAACCGCACCCTTCTATCTTCACGAATAACGGAGATACTGTATGATTTCTACCAAAATGTGACACCCTGTACAGGGTGTCCCATTTTTATGTGTTGACGCTTTAAAACGCGCCATAATAAGTAATTACAAAAATCACTTTCAGCACCTTCTGTTAAAAGAAAACTGAACTTAGAATCGCAAAAATTGGTCGTACCGTTTGCTCACAAACACGAATTCAAAACGCCTCAACCGAAAAAAACAAAGAAACAACCTGTACTAAGGAAACCACGGTACGACACGTCTCTCAGTCTCCTAACGAAAAAATTCTCAGATTTACTGCAAAAGAGTCATAATGGTGTGGTTGATTTGAATAAGGCTTCGATAGATTTAAATGTACAAAAAAGGAGAATATATGATATAACAAACGTACTAGAAGGTATCGGGTTGCTGGAAAAGAAATCTAAGAACAATATCCAGTGGCGGGGGGGCAAGGACAGGGGTAGTTTCTTGACGATGAAAAAAAAGCTGAAAATGTTGGAAGACAGGGAAAATCAGCTGAACAGGCAGATAGATTTGGCAACGGAAGAATTGAGGAAATTGACAAATGACAAGTAAGTTTAATTATTTGTAGTTTTTTACCTTTGAATAAAAAGATATTTAATAAAGGAAGGAGTATAATACTATCCGTGTAGTCATGCGTGGTAGACGGAGTAGGTCCCTAGTGTATGGATCCTTGACAGCTCTGTTTGACGATTCATTTGACATATTTGAATTTTATTCTAAATTTTCTGGATTTGTCAGTCTTTCGTGAACTTATGAGTAGTAGTAGATCTCAGTCAAATCGAGGGAAATAACGGAATAACTTTTGACTAGTAAGTAACTATTATATATAATATACACACGCATAGAAAACCAATCATTCATGGAATTCACTTAAAATTAACTAATCATATATTTTTTCTTGCATTTTTGCTTTTATTCAAGAGAAGAGTCAAAGATTAGATGTCAAAGAATTTAGATACGTCAATTTGACTTGCTTCAGTAGCGTATCGGATGTTTGTGTTAGTAAATAATTATTATAACATCTATTTTTATAAGAATTATATATTTTCATAACAATTTTAATAACTACCAACATTTATTGACAACGTAAAATAAAACAACAAATTATTGAGTCTACCCTACATCATATTTTTACACGTTTTGAATAAAATTAGAACAGCACTGATAAACTGGAATTTAAGTCGGCCATTTTTGAATTTTTTGAAATGCTCCTTCCTTAATCTTTTTATTCAATGTTTTTATACACCTTATACACTGATTTTTATGAAATATCGTATACAGGGCGATCAAGAATGATTGAAATAGTTACTAATACAGTGTGTGGGGATTTTAGGAGTTGGATTAGGGAATGCAATCCCGCACCAAAATCTCAATCCCGTAAACCCGCGGGATTAAAGCAATCAATCCCGCGGATCCGCAAAATTCCGGGATTGTAAACAATAAATGCTCTTTTTTCTCTCTCCGCTTTTGGGATGCGGTTTGGACCAGGTTTTAGACGCATCTATTGTGATTAAGATGCTATGTGGTTTTCGAAAATATATTTAGCGAATTCTCGTATACAGGGTATTTTATAATAGTGTACAAATTTGGTCAAGAATCTTTTTTACCGAAAATTTACAATTTTTGAAAAATCAAAATTTTAACTATGTACGACTAATCTGTATTGAAATTAGAAAAAACAATTTGGTATTTTTTTTTAATTTTTTGTTTTAAGGAAAATACGATTTTTTTTCGAAAAATATGCATTTATAGTCATACATTTGGTCTTAAATGGTACAAAAGGCATTATACATTTTGCATAGGCCCACAGTATATTGATATAGCGTGTATCTTAAACTATCTGTACAGAAATTTGAACCGATGTATACAGGGTGTTCAAAAAATATATATTAAATAAACTTAAATTTTATTATAATTTATCTACTTATTTTATAAATAAAAATATTATTCTGATGTTGAAGTTTTTTTAACTTGTGTTGGTTATCTGCTTTCAGATACACTCTATATCAATAATTTTTTGGCATATGCAGAATGTACAAAGGTCTTTGTACCATTTAGGACCATCGTATAAAAAACGTCGTATTTTCCTTAAAACAAAAAAAAATAAAAACCCGATCAAATTGTTTTTTTCTAATTTCAATACAGATTAGTCGTACTTGGTAAAAATTTCGATTTTTTAAAAATTGTAAATTTGCGGTAAAAAAGATTCTTGACCAAATTTTCACTCTTATAAAACACCCTGTATACGAGAATTCGCTAAATATATTTTCATATTTTCGAAAACCATATAGTATCTTAATCACAATAGATGCATCTAAAACCTGGTCCAAACCGCTTCCCAAAATCTTTTTTAGTTCAAGAGATATTCAACTTTAAATTTACCCTAAAATTTTGCTTGTCCCGATAATTATGTCCGGCAGTTTATTTGACGTAATTGTCCACAAGTACTAGTTAAACGCTTTTTTTCGCTTAGGCACGCCAGAAAGAAATCTAACAATTAACTTGTTTATTTCACTTATTTTTAATGGCCAAGCCGTAAGGGGAATCCCCTGGTGTCGATCCCGCAGATCCCGCATGGTAAATCCCGCAACTTTGATCCCGCGGAATCACAACTAGGGAATGCATTTGCGGGATTGCATTTCCTAGTTGTGATTATTCATATTTTTCAACGTAAAAAATTACGATTTTTCAATACAACTATAGTGTTCAACATGGAAAAGTAATACTTATATTTATCACGACTTATTTTCATTCCGGTTTCAAAACGAGGTTAGAAATTGAACGTAATCGGTGAAATATCCTTTAATCAATACAGAATCGAAAACAATTATTTATTAAATATCAGAAACGTTATATAGTTGGACGATTTCAAAATACTGTTAACCAGGAAGTAACAAACGAAGATGGAACAATCTGATAAGCCTATATAAAACTACATTTTGGCTTTTAAATTTATAAAAATATATACAACTTTTTACTTCTAATTTCATATGTATTTTATTGTATATTGTACACCTTCCAAGATTTTTTTTGCAATAATTATGTAGTATAATATATATTTCAAATTATACCCCCCTCCCATACCCAAAAAAATCTTGAGGAATTTCGTAAAAAAACTGTTTTCTAGAAATTTTACATTTCGTATATTTTGATTGCAGTGATAATTTTTTTATGTTGTTTCGTTTTATATTTCAAGTGTGCGTACATCCGGATGATTTTTAGGCACATGTGTGATGTAATCATATTATTGTCTTAAAAGTCAATGACCTTATACATTAATTAAAATGGTAGATTGTCTTATTACACTGCTCTGTTTGTTGAATTGGGTACTATTTTTAAAATATGAATAATTTTGACCCTTTTTTCTCAAATTCCTCATTTTATCAAACGATAAAAAAGGCGTCAAAGACAGCTGGGGAATGACAGACGATGATAATTTTGGCGAGGTCAAGCTCTATACGGCCTTAAGAAGGTTGTAATTTTTATATTGAGTAAAAATGATTTTTAAATGGTGTAGTTTTAAATTCGAGAAAAAATAAACAGTTTTTTGAAAAAGACTTGTATGTCTGGAAACGTTCTATCCTTTTCTAATCTTTCTTTAATTAGCGTTAATGTTTGACGTTTTATGTCAATTTTTAGTAAAGACGTTTAGAGATTGACATCACCAAAATTGTAGTCGATTGTCATTCCCGAGCCGTGTTTGACGTCGGTTTTATTCCATCATAGGGTAAAATCATAATAACAATTTTGTAGTTTTTGGCTTATACATCAAGTTTTTCGTATTTGCTTTGAACCACCCTGTATATGCGATTTTTAACGTTTAGTATTAACAAAAAATCGAATTGTGTCGTATCCGCTTGTAAAATTTTTAACTAGAGTACTTACCAATTAACGGAGCTAATACAGACAAGTCTGGATAGCAAAGAAACAGCAATTTGTGCCTTCTTGGATATTGCGGGGGCGTTTGACAATATACCACATAAGGTGGTCAGGCGATCTCTAGAAACAAGAGGGGTGAACAGAACTATTATTCGCTGGTTTTGGGAAATGCTGTCAACACGAACAGCAGAGGCTCAGATGGGCACCAAAACTGTAGCTGTTAAAACAACGCAAGGAACTCCACAAGGTGGAGTAACCTCCCCTTTGCTGTGGAGCTTGGTGGTGGATGAACTACTAGATGAATTAACTCTAGCGGGAATACACTGCATTGGGTATGCAGATGACATAGTCATGATCGCTCGGGGGAAACATGAAGGCACCTTGTGTGATATTATCCAAAGAGGACTCCGTATCACTGAGAGATGGTGTAGGACTGTCGGGCTGAGTATCAACTCAGACAAAACCGCGATAGTGCCATTCACCAGAAGGCGAAGTCTGAAAAACTTGAAAAGAATCCAACTAGATGGAAAGGAAATACTGCCAACACAGGAAGTTAAATACCTGGGAATAACCCTGGACAGTAAACTCCTGTGGAACAGGCATATTAAGAACACTACCAGCAAAGCCATAAAGGCTCTCATGATATGCAGAAGACTGGCCGGAAATAGATGGGGCTGCTCCCCTAACATTTTGCGCTGGATGTATACCATGATAGTAAGACCCATGATTACTTATGGAGCAGTTGCCTGGTACACAAAACTGAGCAACGGACGGCAAGGCTAAACCTATGCAAAGTCCAGAGACTAGCATGTGTTTGCATCACAGGAGCCATGAGAACCTGTCCAACAGCAGCAATGGAGGTCATTCTAGATCTAACACCACAGCACATTGTCATTGGTAGATATGCCAATGCGACAATGGTTAGAATGGTCACTAACGGAATTAGTACTGGGAGAATTGGCAGATCAGGGGCTTGGAACACCCTCAAAAAGGAAATACCACTCCTGCAACTCCCAGTGGACGATATGCCAAGAACGTACAACTTTGACAAACATGTCAATGTAGTATTGAGCAATAAGAAGGATTGGAAGAGCGAAACGCTTGCCCAGCAGTTAAAAGACCATACCATAACTTGGTATACTGATGCTTCCAAAACCAATACGGGAATAGGGATCGGAGTGTTTGGGCCGAGAGCTAATTACTCCTGAACCAATGGGCACTTACCCTAGTATCCTACAGGCAGAAATCTACGCTATCGAGAGATGCGTACAACTTATCTTAGATAGGAACTATCGGAAACAAGAAATAGCCATCTTATCTGATAGTCAAGCAGCGTTAAAGGCGATCAACTCAGTATCAATCAATTCGAAATTAGTCAAAGAATGCATAGAGAAGCTGAATAAATTAGGCAAAGAAAACAAAGTCCTCCTACACTGGGTGCCTGCTCACCAAGGCATAGAAGGCAATGAAAAAGCAAATAATCTAGCTAGGAAAGGGACCAGAACCGTTCTGCTTTCCAAGTGGTAAACAACTCAAGGCGGAACTCAAGAACTTGGAAGATTCCATCCGCAACCTGGAATGGAAATCTTGCAATGGTCTAAGACACTCGAAGAAGTTTCTGAGGGCTTATGATCAAGAAAAATCACAGATCTTCCTGGGTCTGAGTAAG